CGCCCACTTTTCCCCGGAAAATTTTTTCTCCGGAATTTGCGGGGTCTCTATTTTCGTACGTTTCCAGTCAACTTTATCATTATCAAAATCTTTTATTTTCCGTTTTGTTCAGGGAAAAATATTTTTAAAAATCGATGAAACGCTTTGGAGAACGATTTGTTGGAAAACATTTCTAGGTTACTGTAGTTGTCGTGGTGGGACCTTCGGCCACATGAGTTTCTAATCCACAGCTCCTATTCTTTCGTACGAGAATAACACTTCTTTTCCTTTTCTCAATCCCCAAATGTTCATTTTCAGTCTCTTCTGGCTTTCCACGTCTTCGACCTAACCGCAGAAGCTCATAAAGTCGTGCTCGTATTTCTGACGATATCTGCCGATGCGTTTGCTCTATCCAATCCATGGCTTCTATTCTGTTTATCAAGTACATTCCGCCAGAAATTTCTCGAGGCACGCAAGATCCGTCGCATCTTCGCTGCTGCCCCGTCCACCAACGAGACTTCATAATGATCAGGTTTTGTGTTATCTCTAAACTTTTCTTTTTTTCGTCTTTTTCTCTATTCTTTTTGTTCCTGATTGAATTGAACTTTAATTGTAACAAATTGAAATAACATTTTCAAAAAATGGTTTCATTAAGTCCAATGAGAGTCATTTTATTATGTCATTAATTATAACAATTATTAGTTGAGTTCGCCACTTATTAACAGAAAACTTATATTAAATCAATGCATTAGATAGCTGTTCCAATCACATATCCTCTGTCGGTTCCTGTCGATCCACTCTGCGAGCAAGAAACTGAAGCGATTGGAACAGTAGTGGTCCCTCCAGTAGCAGTAGCTGCTCTCCACACCCCGTTGACACAAACGACCTGAAATATTTGTGTTTAAAAAATTTGGAGATTAAACAAAATATATTTACCCTGACGCTGAGACTGGTAGCCGGACTACCAGTTGTTGTTCGAGAAGCACAACAACACCAGCATCATTGAAAAATTGGACGAGAATAGCAGTTGGCTGGAATAAAAAAGTTTTTGATTGTTGTGACAATAAATTCTGAGAGTTTTGAGAAAAACCGTTCTAGGCGGTTTCGATCAAAAATTAGATCCGAAAACAAAAGCTTACATTCGTCTCTTGAGCAGCATCACAAACTACAATTCCGTCAATTGGGCATGTGGAAGAGACTCTTTGAAGGACGGAACACTGTTGTTGAGTGGTTAAAGAAGGTGGTCTTCGAGGAAGAACATTTGAAGAGAGCATCGTACAACATGCTAAAATTAGGGAATTGATATGTTTCTCATTTTTGCTTAAATAACTTACGAGTTGTGGTTGTTGTGGTTCCTGTAGGGACACAAGCATTGGACACAGTGATGGCGGAGAGAAAAAGGACTACAGCGGAGATCATCGTGTCTGAAAGTGAGAAAAATGTTGAAATGCAAAAAAATCCTAAAGATAGATTTATGAAGTGGAAGCTTAGAAATTACGCTAGGTAGCCACTCGGCTAATTGAAGTGACCGGCAGATAAATCTGGGGCAAGAGGGAGGAAAGACGGGGGCGGGGTGATAATGATGATAAGAAAAGGCATTCACTTTTCTGTTGTATATCTATGCGTCTGGGCACCGGTGATTTGCGATTCTCTTCTCCTGAATCTCGTTTCCTACCTTTTGTATCAAACAAGACGCTTTTCCCTTACGATAAGCGAAAGTCGGGATTTGAAACTAAGGTCTTTTGTTTCAAAAACGCGATTTTCGCCATCTCTTTTTTTGTCTCATCTTGCTTTTTGTCGAGATGATAGCAACATACGGGGCGGTAAAAAGAGGATCAGATATGATAGATAAGAAAGATGCAAAATGCAATATTCAGAATGAATTGTAATGATTTCTTTAAAAATAGTTGACCTGAAAAATTCACAAAATACTAGTCTAGGAAAACCGATTCACCAATAAGAAAAAAGAAAAAAACTCTATGAATTATGAATTGAAAAATTGAAATCGTGTTTGAATTACTATTTTTATGCCAGAGAAGATGCCTGCAACAATGTCATTGTTTGTTACTGTAAAACCTGCAACAGAAGAGCTCCACAATGTAAAGTTTGAGCTCTATTATCTCAACTTATATGCAAGATATCAAAATTGTGTTAACTGAAAAAAATACTCCTAGTATTATGATATGCAGTTTATCAGTTGACAACTTTTTCATATCTTTGACAAGAACCGAAAAAAATTTACTCAAAGTCAAAAGTTAAGAACCCTTTTATTACAGGCTTAAAGTTATATCATTTTCAGAATTTGGTCCAAAGTTTAGATTAATTGGATACAATTTGGAGCAATGTGTCAATCTTTTTAATCTTAGAATGTGCAAGTTTCATCTTTTCTGTAAATGATTGAATGATTCTTAGAACATTATCATGTGTAGCGTCGACAATTTTGATCTAAAATGAATTTCTGGAAAAAAAAAATCTGTTTCAAAATGACAATTTTTGTGAAAAAGGTCAATTTTGGGCCTGACTGTAAATACTGAAAAAAGTTGGAACAAAAAGAAGGGGTGTCTTTAAAATGTACCATACAAGCTATGATAGAATGCATCCGAACCGTCAGCTTTAAGCCCACTTTCTGTAAAAGATATCAAAAAGTGGTTAACTGAGAAAATTTTAATTATAAAATTGAAGTTATTTTGTTATAAATTGAAGTTATTTTATCAATTGACCACTTTTTGATATCTTTTGCAGGAAATAAGACGTAAGGGCTCAAAGTAAACGGTTTGGGTGGCATTCTATTAGAGGTTTTACAGCATCCTCCAAATTCTTGAAAGTTTGGGTGTGAGAAAAGTTCAGATGTGATAACACAATTTTTCAGAATTAAACGAGATTTTGAGCACGTATTTGAGTTTTCAGGAGAATTCAACAGAATTGCAAAGGACAAATATTGAAAAAAAAACAATTTTTATGTTATCAAACTCTTATTTCAAAGAATTTTTTAGTGTACATCGAATACGGGGAACATGACAAAATCTCAATCAACCATTGCTTAAATAAACGCCCAAATTTGTGTAGATATTTAAATTTATCTTATTCCAGGTTTCCTCAATTTTCATAACCACCTCAGATACATCACAATCATATCATCGGAGTTTACCGACGTCCACCGTAGTCAGTTTTTGTTGATTTAGTTCTGTTGAAAAATAAACAACAACTAGCTTCAAAAAAGGTGCGAACAGGAAGTTTGACCAAAAATACAAGTTTTGGGATCACTTGTTATTTGACTGTATTCTGTAAAAACAGATGAGCAGAGAATGAGCTCTTGGCAGTATTTTTTAAATTTAATTTTGAAATTACTAATTAGTTGACTTAATTTTAGTTGAGTAAGTAGAACCAATGTCATCTTGCGTCACAGCCATCCGGAGAATTTGAAAAATCATACCTCTTTCGAAATAAATCATGCATATGATCTTTTTTGTTTTGCTGACAATCGTCACTTTTGAATATTGCGCCTCAAATCAAAACATGAGCCCTCTCCATTTCAAAAAAAAAACTCTCCAACCGTTCACTTTCCACCCCTTCCTTCCTCTGACAGATGAATCAGAGCTAATAAAGAATCACCACCTACGGAATGACTTGAATTCCTTATCATTCTCTTGTTTATGCAGACGCAACCCAAAAGCAATGTTATCATTTTGAAAGAGTCCTGCTAACGAAGCGTATTGTGTTCCTGTCGCCCTCTAAATTCGAATTCCAAACTTTATTATCATACTTTTCCCCCTACCCCACCCATACCATTTTCCGACATTTTCAGAGAGCAATCATTTATTGACACGCCTTGATATTTCTTTTTTGTCAGCAGCAAACATTTTGTCTGGTTACTTTCATACCTCTTCTTCTTGTTTCACGTTTTTTCGTCATTTTTTTGGGATTACTGTCATATTCTCCTAATTTTTAGAGGGGCAGTCTGATTTTTGATAAATCACTACTTTAGTTTTCGATAATCGGGACTCCTTTTTGGTGAGTTTGAAAGTTGTTCTCTTGATTAAACGTGATTCACCTAAACCTCTATTCAAATATCAATGTGCTCAATTTTTGCACAATTCTAACCGTTTTTAAAAACTCCCACGTCCCTTACTAATCTTAGCGAATCTCCTGATCATCGTTATTTTTAAAGAAAGATCTCAAGGCGATTGATCTGAGAATGATATTTCGTTGCATTGTGCACTTGGTAGTTTTCATCTCGGCAGTTACTTTGTCCCAACAATCAACACCTCCACCTGAGCAATGTGATTTCGACTCACCAGCCATCAAATCGATGAAGCCGTCATTCGGCGGAATCGATGGATTCTACAACATTGCCAAGGGCATTTCAGATGGATTGCAGAACACACCGAACTCGAAAACTTATAATGTATGTGTTTCAAATGTTTCTCTTTGTCACCTCTTATCACTTAATGATAAGGAGTTCCGTCCAACATGCACGGAAACTATTAAACTTTTAATTATGTGGAAACGATTTTCCGAAATTGCAGGATTTAAATAATCTGATCTTCCGAGGTGGAGCTGTTACCTATGATCAGGTCATCACTGATATGGTGGTCAACCAAATCGGTGCCATCATTTTCTGGAGTGTCGGATTCGTTTTCGTATTGGCTGCCCTTGTTCTCGGAATCGCCACGTGTATTTGGCAATGCTGCTATTCATGTGTTCCCAAAGAAACTGTAAGTTTTGTCACATAAAAACTTTACTAGTCAGACTTTTAAAATTTTCAGTCGATCCGTTCCGAAATCACTGGATACGTTTACGCGTTCCTTCTCTTCACCGTTTTCTCATTCACTCTCACCGGATTGATTCTTTTCAATGTTGCCGAATCGAATCTGATCGATTCTGTGGATGATGGAATGGTGTATACAAATCAGATTTATGGAGGTAAGTCATGGAAATTTTTATTTATTTATTGGATTGATTGATTTCAAAAGCCACAAACACAACACAATTCATCCAACGATGGGGCTAGAAAAACCTCCCAAAAACTTTCTAAACAGTATTTTTTAGATCTGAACAATGTGATTTCTAATGGAGGTAATCAGATCAATTGTGAAGTAACTGAGACAACAACTCAAACATTCACAAACATGAGAACTCTAATCGGGGGATATTCGTCAAATGTAGTCGATGGAACACAGAATGAAGTTGGAGTCACCGCAGTGAATAATGTCAGTTTTTTAGTAATTTGAAAAAAAAAATCCTCTATCAAAAATATTCTTTGGAATTCAAAAATATCGTGAAACCTGTAAAAAGCCATATATCTTTTACCTTCAAGTCTATTTTTCTCACTTCCTCTCAAAGAGATTTTATAAAATTTTCAACTGATAAAGTGGTTATCATAGTATCAGAATGTTTTGTCAGTTGACACACTTTTGGGCGCTATATGAGTTGAGGGGTGCCACTGAAATTTTCGATTTTTACGCGATTTTTTTTACTTTTGATATACCCCATTTTTGATATATCGCATAGGAATTGAGATAATTAAGCTCAAACTTGACCGTGTGAGAGTCCTTTTATTACAGGTTTTACGGTAATTGGAGTATCTAACATTGTCCACTTTCATCTGAATATTTCAGTTCGACAACGTTGATTTTGCAAACAAAAACCAGGCTACCGAAGTTGCAGCAAATGCCCTAAAAGCCAGCCTTGCTAATGTCCATTCGAATGATCAAACTTGCATGAGTAACAAGAAAACATTGGAAGATCAGTTTCAAACAGTAACCGTTACTCTCCAGGTAAAATGAATGTCTGATTAATATTACCATTTTCACTCCCAGAGCCTGACTAATATCGCAAATGAAGTCCGAACTAGTCCGGATTTGATCGCAATCAACACGCAGATCGATACAATTAAGAACCAGGTAAGAACCAGTAGGTTTTGTGAAAATCTCTGAAGAATGTTTTATATAATTTTTTAGATCCAAGAACAAGCTGACAATGCATCGGGATCAATCAACACCACGCAAGCTCAAATCAATGATTCGATGTCTTCCATAACAAATATGTTGGATAACGTCCAGCAAACCATTAACAGTGTGATCAACTCGTTGAAATCTGCTCATCGTGACTTGGTTGGGGTATGAGATCTATTCCACATATCCCAATTTTCCATAATCCTTTTTTTCAGTCAAGTGCATATTCGGCTCTGAAAATCGGTGTCCGCCTTGTTGTCACTATTCCAGCTTGCATTGGGTGCTGCTTTTGTATTCTGGCATTTGTAGCCGTTGTGGTATCATTGAGAAAGCAAGACGGTTTGCAAAATGTTTCGATTTTTTTCATTCAATTTATCCCATTTCAGGTCTTGCAATCAAATTGTCGTCTGCTGTTCTGAGTGCCTTCTACTCGACAATAACCATTTCAATAATCCTTCTTCTATTTTCAAGTCTGGCCTTCGTTTTGGGTTGGTTCACGTCTGCCATGTGTGTCCCAATCTTTGAAGACGACAACTATCAGCTCTTCCATCTGATGAATCAGACGATCGCACCAGTCAATGGAGTTGGTAGTCCAGATGTCATTAATATTGGGCACGATAGTCTTACTCATTTGAAAAACGAACAATCACATTTTCAGTAATGTTCTTGAGTCTTGCAACGATCCAAGCATGACTCTCTACACTGCTATCAATGGTAGTACCGTAATCTCTGCTGACTCGATCACTAGTCAACTCAATTTGGACCAGTATCGTGATCAGGCTGACGATCAGATCATGCAGCAACAGAACCTGTCATTCCCTATGGATCCGGCTTGGAAGGTTTGCTCATGTCCAATTTCAATTTTTTATTAAACTTTCCAGCAATTCATAACTGACTTGAATACAAACACGCAGGCTGCCAAACAAGCACCATTGACATCCTGTGGAGATAATGATGCCGTTGACAAGTACAATGCTTACATTCAGACCCTTGACATCTCGAATACGAAATCTGAAGAGTTCTATAATAACATGCAAACATTGAGTGATCAGTCTCCTAAAACTGTATGGGATTGTAAAATTCCGATACTTCTGAATTTCGAATTCTTACAGACCACAATTGCAAAACAACAAAATGACAACTATTTCAATTCTGGAGACCTACAAATCAACCAGTCAATATCGACTCTGATGGTGAGAAATTTAAAAATAAAAAGTATTTTTATGTTGACAAAAATTTCCAGACAAATCTCCAAACAAAGTTTTCATGTGTCGTCCACTGGTTGACATTTACAACAATGGAGGATTTGTGATGTGTGAACAGTTTGGAAAACCGATTCAAGGATTGTGGGCTGCTATAGGATTGGCTGGACTATTCTTGTTCTTTTTGTCGATTTTGCTACTTTTGACTTTCCGTTGGCTGAAGACACATAGCAAAGAAACTGCTGGAAGTGGAAAAGATAATTTGGTTAGTTTGAGAATAGATCTTTCAACTTCCTTGTCCAATTTTCAGTACGGCACAGACGGTACTCGAAAACTCGGTGATCAGAAAAAGAGCAAGAGTTCAGAAGAGTAAGTTTCTACATGTAACCTCACAATTCCATGTCACCGTTTCCTTGTCCATTCCAGACATTCTTCACCTCCTGCAAGCACAAAAATAACTGAACCTCTATAATCCTTCCCCTGTCCAGATACTAATAAAATCATTTATTTTTCCCTTTGTTATCTTTGTTAGCTCATATTTTTGTAAATGTCCTTTTGAAAATAATTTGAAAATATTCTTCTCCAGATTTGATTTTTTTGGCAAGCCTGTAATAAGCTCCACTTCGAATACTGGAAGACGGCTTCCTAGAGTTCGGCCTTTCGATATGGATGTTGTAGACCCGTAAGTGCAATTCTTCTGTATTTTTTTTTGAAGAATTTGTTTTTCAAGGTCTGAATATGGCTACCAAGAAAGCACGACTGCATCTCATATGCCACGTGTTCAAGTTCTTCCTGACGAAAGGCATCCTAATATGTCGCCCAATTATTATGACACTCAAGAATTCGGAACAAGGCAGGCTGCTTTTTTTGTAAAATATAGTTATGAAAACTACATTTTACAGAAATACCCGATTCAATGACATCGATTTATTCGATTATCAGAGTAACAACGGAAGTACGCAACGCGGGCTTCGACGAATGTGATCATATTTTGTGCTTATTGTTGTTTTGATATTCTTCTGTACATTCCAGTTGTTTTTGGCTTTATATTGTGAAATTTTCTCAATCAATGAATCGTTTAAGATCTCATTAAATATAATTTTTTTCTGAAGATCTTAATTTTTGATGGAACTTTTTGGAAGCAGAAAGTTCAAGTTCTAGATATCCAGAAAAGTTTATTCAGCCTTCTCCAACATGGGGAGTTCTAAAAAATTCCCTGGAAGCCAAATTAACGGCCGGGATAACCCAAAAAGAAACAGATCTCAAGAATCTCCTCCTGAAGCAAAAACAGTTTTCCATACGTAATAGAATATCCTTCAACAATCATATCCAGAAATGTATACCGTAATCCTTTCCTGCTCACTCCACCCACAAACTTCTTTCAACCCTTCTTAAAATTACACAAATTGATTTCATTTATTTTGTCGTCAGCAGCCTTTTCTTCATTTCTCCTTCTCCTTCCATTTGTCTTATCAACTCAAAATTGAATGATTTATTATCTTAATCGGCGCCACCAATCACCAACGCCCATTCCATTCTTCCCTTCACTACCGTTACTTCTACTTCTTCCACACTTCATTTCAGCCCAACTGAATTATTATTTTCAGATGCGCTTCTTGCTTCTCTTATTTGTTCCAGCCCTGGTCCACGGATTCAGTTCATCCTTCAATTATGGATGCCAAAATGGAAAGTGCACTTTCCAACTTGTGGTTCCAAAGGTTCCGAAAAAATTCGAAACATCTAGATTCAAATTAGAATTCATTATAGGAAGTGGCTCAATACATCAACGAAAACACTCTGAGCTCAGAAATATCTCAAATCACTTCGGACATCGGCAAGCTGAACGACACAATCACTCACTTCAATGATAGTGAAGCTACTAATTTCACTACGGTGAGAATAAGATGAAAAGTTACACGAGTCTCAGTTCAATTTTATTTCAGTTGTTCACCCACAACTGTTCCATTGTTGACGGTGCAGCTCAGAGTTTGAACACCAGTGTCAACGCAGCTCTTCAAAACTCTACTGGTAACTTGAATAAGCAATTTTAGAATCCTAAATAAAACATGATCCGTTTCATTAAATATAAACTTCCGTATTTCCTCTAGTAGAGGCCTGCCCAAACCATCAACTTTAAGCTCAAATATCTCGATTCATGTGAAAGATATCAAAAAGTGGCTTACTGACAAAACATTTTTGAAGTTATGATGAATGTTTTGTTAGTTGGCCACTTTGTCGTATCTCTTACAGAAAAAGAGATATATAGGCTCACAGTTGACGGTTTGTGAGGGCTTCTATTATAGGAAGTAGGTATGCGAGAAAATTTTCAAATCAACGTCAGGAGTTGCAGATGAAAATTATTTGTTCACTCTTTAGGTCGTAGGCCATTCTGATGCAGTTTTTTCAGACTTTTACTTTTTCCGAAGGGTTTCACAAAAAAATGCTTTCACATTATGCCCTTTTTTAGACTGCTTTCTCATTCTATTTCATTTGTGAGATTTCAAAGGAATACTGTAGGAAAATAGACAAGTGTATCAAAAAGATGATTCAAAGATAGCAGTTCAATTTTGGTATACTTGTAGTAAACACTCTAATAAAAGGCCCCTCCCCCTGTAGCCAAAACTATCAACTTTGAACCTATGCATCTCATTTCCTGTAAAAGATATCAATAAATAGTCAACTGACATAATTTTTATTATGATATCAAAAACATTAATCTCATTTGATATACGACGGTAGAAATTTGAAGAATTTTTTCTCATTTCTGAAAACCGGAATTTCTCAAATTTTATGTACAAAAAAAACAGAGTTAATAGAAAGAACAAAAGTTTTCGAAAAGTTTGTCTATTCCACAGATTTCGTCCAGTTTCGCCTTGCCTTTTTACAATTCAAAAATTTTCTGTATGAATATTCCAGAAATTAGTAAAAGTTATAGAAAATGTTTATTTGATGGATCTGAGAATGATCTTGAACAAAAAAATGGGTGGACAAATTAAAATTGGACAGTGTGGACAGTTGGGACAGTGGTAGTAGTTTGCTCAAATCCGGGTGACAACCAATCTTCCTGCATTTTGAACTTCTTGATGCTCTGTACCTTCTTTTCTTCTACAGGTACAGAATCGGTTTGTCTCCCGATTTTGTACTTTTTTAAAGGAAAAAGTGGTCACGCCAAATTCAAGTACTATTTGAATTGTGCCACGAGGTACAAAATCGGTAGGCAAACCGATTCTGTACCTAGTGAAACAATTCAAATTTTTTCTGATTTCACGTGTCTTTTTGTGGATTCTGAAACATTACTCATGAAATCCGATTTTTAACCAATTTTTTGATCGACACTAACTTTCTACGATACGCTTATTTGGGTGAGAGTGATATCTGAAATTTTGGATATTTTGAGACTGCTATCCAATATCCAATCCGCTAGCCAATTCGGGTCGGGTATATACTTACTGTTAACGTCGGATTAGCTTCAAAATATCCAAAATTTCAGATATCACTCTCATCCAAATAAGCGTATCGTAGAAAGTTAGTGTCGATCAAAAAATTGGTTCAAAATCGGATTTCATGAGTAATGTTTCAAAATCCACAAAAAGACACGTGAAATCAGAGAAAATTTGAATTGTTTCACTAGGTACAGAATCGGTTTGCCTACCGATTTTGTACCTCGTGGCACAATTCAAATAGTACTTGAATTTGGCGTGACCACTTTTTCCTTTAAAAAAGTACAAAATCGGGAGACAAACCGATTCTGTACCTGTAGAAGAAAAGAAGGTACAGAGCATCAAGAAGTTCAAAATGCAGGAAGATTGGTTGTCACCCGGATTTGAGCAAACTACTACCACTGTCCCAACTGTCCACACTGTCCAATTTTAATTTGTCCACCTATTTTTCTGTTCAAGATCATTTTCAGATCCATCAAATAAACATTTTCTATAACTTTGACTAATTTCTGGAATATTCATGATTTTTGTACAGAAAATTATGACATCTGGTGAAACTGAAATAAATGCTACATGGTACATGAAATCATCAATTCGAGCTGTTTCTATACATGCGAAAAAAATTCTTCAAATTTCAACCGTCTTATATCTCTCAAAAGAACCGGGACAGTTTGGCTCTAAATTGAAAGTTAGGGTCGTTGTATTATAGTGTTTACTGTAATTTTGGCAGTTGTATTAATTTTTATTTTCCAATACCTACAAAAATGTTTTGTGTAGATTTGGTGACTGCCTCCGCCAACGCCAATGCCACGGCTAACCTCCTCTATAACTCCATGGCCTGCTTCAAGAACACAACCCGCTTCAGTTACACCTGCTTCACTCTTCCAACAACTGTCGCCCCAGCAACCACCCCTGGAGCCCCTGCATCCACTACTGGAAACCCATCCACAGCAGATTTCAGCACTGTAACTGGAGGAAGTACTGTTTCTGGAGGAAATACTGTTTCCCAACCAACTGGTGCATCGACTCTATCAACATCTGCTGGAGATGCAAGTACTTCTGGAGGTGCAACCTCACCCTCTGCCAGTTCAGCTGCTGCGGGTTCGTCTTCTGTTGCTCCTTCTTCTGTTTCAACTAAAACCATATAGGAACTTATAGATTTCTCAGAACCCCATCCTCCTCGTAAAATTCTAAAAACACATGAACATTAATTTTTCGCCAGGGATCCCAATTCGATGGGGATGTGATTCTGAGAAATCGACCCTCTGGCCCATCTTGTTTAAATGTTTTTATTTGAATAAACTTTATCAACCATGTGCTGTTAAAAAAACAAGAATCAGTCAATCGAATGTGATCCTAGAAGGTCCAAAGAATAGTCCAGGATATTGACCGGTAGACACTTTTGGTTTGCGATGAACTGCTTGAAAAGGCCCTTATTAAGAGCGTCGATTATTGGGAGAAATGTCTGAAATTTAAAAATTGAAAACTTCAAAAGTCCAGGGTTTGTGTACCTGGTGTCGGATAGAAAGTGCCACATCATCTTTGATATCATAAGAAATCATTTGGATTCCCCGAATGAAAAATGCAGTATGAACAAAAGTTTGAAAGAATTCGGCAGTTTGTTCAGCTTCGGTTTTTTTGGCGAGTAGTTTCTTTTTGGCTTTCCACAATTTTAGCATTACATCCATTATGTCATGTTGATCACAAATGAATGGAAAAACGGATAGGAGAGGGTCGGATACATATTCTGAAAAATATCAGATAAAAATTAGTTTCTTCTTTTTTCCAAATCCCTATTTTCCCCTCCCATACTAACCAGCACTCAAAGAGTTCTTGTTGTCTCTTATCAGAATGGTTCCTGCTCTTCGACGGTAATAATGGAAGAATGGTAAATAGAGAGCGTTGAAAATGATGACGTCAGGCAATGAACTGAAAATAATGATTCATGTGATAACGGTAAATTCCAACACACAGAAAAAACTCACTCGACATATGATATTTTGTCTTTTGGTACATCCATAACTTGAACCATTACTCTCTTTTTAGAAGCTTCCGGAATCTTCATTTTTGACATTATCTCATCATCCAGATACAGCACATTCGTTCTACTCGGTACTGCCTTATCATCAATTATCAATCGAAGATATGTGTGTCCAAGACTCTTTTCCTCGAATCCAATTGTGGTTTTAACGATGTGAGATGCTTCAATTACTAGGACTACTGTAGGAGCACTGTAGTTGGATCGGAGCACAAAGTCAGAGAATTCAATGCAACTCCTAGTGTTGATCTCTTTTTTCTCGAATGACCAAATAGAACCTTTGACACGGGGCACAAGAGTATGAACATTGCTGACAACTTGAGTGGATTTCGGGTTTGTAATGTCTACGAGAGCCATTCGAACCAGGGCTTTGTGTTCTAGCAGTGGCATTTTCTCAAATCGAACAAGACGAATGATTTTGGAAATGTGTATGGTTCTTTTAAAGACTTGATCTTTTTCAGGACTCCAGAAGAGATCATGGAATCCAATGTTTGAAGTAGAGAGTCGTGGAGCCATATGACATACTAGAGATAGATGAATGTCATCGTCAAATGCTTTTCCGAGACAATCATTCTGACGACTTTGTCTTTTTGAATCGTCTCTTCTAGCTGTATTAGGAGTATTCGTTGTAGTAGTAGTTAGAGCAATGACGGAATCGCGGACACCAAGACGGCTGGATACTTTTGATTGCTGGAAAATTCGAGATCTATTGATTTTGAAATTGAATGACGCAAAAGTAGTAGTAAAATGTTCAAAAATGATTTCAAAGGTCTTCTGAATCTACAACCAGAATTACAAACAACAACTTGCCAGCCATCAAACGCACATTTGTGACGAAATTTAACGTTTCTTTTTCTTCTGAAGAATTCAGATTATTCAGTAATTAAATTACTATTTTCGCTAAATCTAATTTGAAATAAAATTCAATGATAATCCTAGTCTTATCCATACTACTGAACAACCAACAAATGACCAACAAACTCACCACAGTCTTTGGTCTTTCTTTTAAATGCTGCAAATATGTTTTGGGAACTAATCCTCTCTGTCCATTTTCATCCAACGCTGTCCACCAGCCATCTGCTCTTGTCTGTGTTATCCTATACTTCATTCCTTTCACCAATCTCAAATCTCCTTCTGCCTCGGGATCCCAATTATCAAATGCCACAAAGACATTTCCCTGAACTATCACAGGCCCATGAATTGAGATGTATCTCCTCTGGTTGGATTTTGAAGACTTGCGATTTCACTTTCAACTCTATCTCTTTCAGCGATTGTTGGAGCCAGAGAAGGTTGAGTTATAGCAATTGGTTGTCGTGGTTTCGGCTGAGGTGGTGGTTGGATCACTGTAGATGGCACTGCTGCTCCATCCAAGTTGACATCGGTTTCAATTATTTTTGATTCGTTATCAGAATCCTCCTGAGAATCGTCAGCATCATACATTACACTTTTTCGACGCTGATCGTTAGATCTCAATTTCGACAGATCCGATTTTTCTTCCTCAGAATCAACACTGAAAATCGACTTTTTTTGTTTTTGTATGAAATTTTATTATGTCTGAAGTGAGCAAACCTTATCGAAATCGAATTAGGCTCTTTTTCTGGACACAAAAGAGACAAACGTTGTTTCAATTTTTCCACTTGTTCAATAGCGTTTCCTTTTTTATAGGCACCTTCGTTTCGGATCTTTTCAATTCGATTTCGATGATCGTCGAGCTGAAACAAAAAAAAATCGAGCCAATGAAAAAAAACCCAACAGATACTTTTCAAAAAAAGGACCAACCTGTTTGTGCAATTCCAAGCACCGCCTCACAAAATGCTTCCGTAAACTGGCTCTTGACGACGAGTCTTGTTGATCTTTCTCTAATCGGTTTATCTGAAAATAGAACGCAAAATAGAGCGCGAATCTCCAGGGGCTTCATCTCTTTCTTTTTCCTCTCTCACCTGATGTTCAAACTGCGGCAATCGATTAATTGCATCCTGCAGACTCAGAATGCTCCCAAATAAGGACATGTCTGGTGGTCCATAGAAAGAAAGGCGGCTTCCTCTTCCGCGCGGCCATTCGAGGTGACCATGGCAACCACCAAGGGATTACCACTACCCGGCACTACGCGCACACGCGCACGCAAGCATCAAGAATTCAGGTGGGAAAACTGGATTCATTTATTAGTCGGCAATAAGCAAGCTCATAAATATGCATTCAATTATTCACACAGTAGATTGGTAGTTGTTTTGCCACGGGAGTTTCACAACTTTTCAACACAGATAACAGACACGGGGAGAAGAGAAGTGGAATGAGCTCAAGAAAAAGAAAAAGTATGGGGAAAGATTCTAAAACTGAATATGACTGTACACGAACACGCGGGAGTGGAGAAGAATGAGCTAAAACTGGGGATGAGAGCAAGGAAGTTGATGATACAACTACAAAGTAAAAATTATTTGAACTAATCGGCTAACTACAATAATGGGGTAGAGAAATAAAATTAATTATTAACTTGTTCGATGACATCGTATACAGAAGACTGGAGTCCCCAATACGTCCTGCACAAATCGTAGAGTCCGGTCTTCAATCCGTTGGTGACATAGGCTATGGTCACTCGATTTTTGAGATCAGTGATAACCATTTGACATCCATGTCCAGTGTGACCAAATCCAAATTGAGCCTTAAATTAATTAAATGAATATGAGAACTTCGGAGAATAGTACTCACTCCAGCTCTATTAATTGGCAAATGGAAGAAGCCGTGTCCCTTGGCTACAGTGTCGTCGAAGATGAAGTCACTTTCATTGACGAACGGCTTACTGATTGTATTCAACGTAGCCTGGTTGACGAGCTGTCCCCGGCTTACCTGAAATAATAAAATCCTCTTATTTCTCTATCTCAGCATCCGATTATAAAATAGTTTGTTCTTCTCTTTTTTCCGCTCTTTTTCACAATCACTACACCGACTCAATTTTGCCAGTCAGCGACTAGCGCGTTTAGATTGATAAGAACAATAGAAGTAAAAAAAGATGAAAAGCTGTACAATCTTTTCCACATGAATCAAATCGACATACTTTATCAAATAACGATGCCAGCGAACGTGCATTTCCCATGCCAAGCGCGGCGGCCTGCTCGAGACTAAAAAAAGAAATGTTGAATGAAAGGGGGAAAGCATGGAGGTCGAACATCAACATACCGATGATAGTCGGGATTGTTGATTGTGCATCTAGAGACAGCCTCGAGCCAAGAAGGATTTTTAACAATGTGGGCGAGTGGATGATCCTGCAAAGTTTGGAACTCGTGTCTAGGGTAGATGCACCAACTCCAGTTTCCGTTTTCTCTCCAGAGTCATATGATTGGTGATAAGAATAACTTCGATTGTTTCGGGAATCCCGGTTTAAAAAAGGAGAGAACCGGAACAACTCGATTAGAAAACTTTTTCTGGGACAAAAACATACCGTCATCAACTTTATCAAAGACTTCATGTACTTGAGAACACGGATATCCGTAAGCATTTCATCGATTCGATTGAGCATATTTGGAGTACTGATTCTAGCAACACGATGCTGTTCGGAAAGAGGAAGACCGATGTGATAGTCAACGTCTAAAACAGCAAATCACATAGGTGTCTTCAAGCCAAAACTAACCTAGTTTCGATGCGATTTCTTCTCTGAAATACTGCCCGATTCCTCTTTTTCTGTCGTCTGTGTGTCTGACGATTTGATCAACCAGCCATCCGTAGGTGTATGCATGGTATCCTGTCTTTGTTCCTGGAGCCCACTTCGGCTCTTCTTTCTCTATAATCTGTCGCATTTGCTCATGATCTGCTGCGATCTCCTCAGTGATTGGTGTATCAAACCATGCCATTCCAGACTAAAATTGAAGATGGATAAGATAATTTTGAATCGTTTTTTTTTCTTACCATATGTGATAATGCCATTTGAATAGTGACATTGTCTCTTCCGTGAGTTCCAAAACCAGGCCAATACTTGGATACAGGGTCATCGTAACTCAGTTTTCCTTGCTCATAAAGCAACGCTACTGCCAGAGCTGCTGCTGCTTTTGTTGTTGAGAACGTCACAGTTATTGTGTCCTGTAAATATGTGTTCTGTGTCATACTCTTTAGTTTGTTTCGTCAGAAAACGTCCTTTTTTATTACCTCTTTTTTTTGGAATCGAAAGAATTGGGAAATAAACTTTGATATTAACCCACGATATCAGTTCCTGTTATCAACGCTATCACTTTTAACGATGGAAAATAGATTTGTGAGCACTACCTTGAAAAGTGATAATTTATGCGAAAAGAGGCAAAAACGAATAAGAAAACTGGATCGTTTGATGGTATTGATCATCTCAATGTTGACTACTTATTTTTTCAAACCGGTTCCTAACCTCGGCCCATTTTCTGGCGGCTTGTTTATCTGCATATCCTCCCCACAAATCCACAACTTTCTTTCCATCAACGAACACGGCAAATGCGGATCCTTCGCTTTCCCAACCTTTTTCGAAGTTTTTCCTGAAAACTTTTTCGTTTTTCAATGTTTCTAAAAGAGAGGAAAAAAGTTGACAGAGTAGAGCAAGGAACTTTTTTTCTATTTGTCTAGTAAACAGTTCTCGTTTCTCATGCGGTTCAATTTATATACTTCACACAAAACGGAGTGCAACGAGACACATTTCGAGGCAGGAGAGGGTTAAACTTACATGAAAACTTCTCGGACTTTTGTGAATCTTTCGTCCACAAACCCATTTATTTCTGGCTTGTGATTTGAATATAGGCGATCACAGAAAAAGCGATATGCAACAGATAACAGTACGGTGCCCAGGATCAGTCGGAAGAGAGACGACGACGAGTACATTTTGCCGATGGAGGAACGGGGCGAAATGCAGACAGAGCACACGAAGTGAGAAGGCGGCACTTGCCAGAGTTGCCGTCTCTGTGCCTGGAGGAAGCGACTCCCTGTAGTTATCAGCGATTGCTTTTTTGGCGTCCTATTCGGTATTTGACGGCGTGTGAAAGAATTAGCAGGGCAAAAAGTTAGGAGGGAAGTGGGCAAAAGGGGTCGAATTAGAAAGCAACAGTGAGTGGGATCCGGTTCCGGGAGGTTTATTTACTCGCATCATTGCCAATGAAGTACTTGTCCGTGTCCAAGATACACTTTAGAACAGTGTAGTCGATGTAGGGTTTTGATAACAGAACGCGAAATTTCATAGAAATGTTTATCGTTTCCAGAAAATCTTTTTCAAATTTACACAACAAAACAAGGATTGAATATCATATAACAACAATGAGGTAACAGAACAACAAACAAAAAATGATTTAAATGAGGAGCTTCTCGACGTCCTCCTTGATTTTTTGGATTTGAGATTTGAGCTGAGATCCTTCGTTTTGAGTGATAGAAGCGGCGATAACTGGGCGAGTGACTCCGCAAGCGCGTCCAAGGGCGGCCTTGCTCTGAAAATCAGAATATGATTACTTCCAATATGGAATGAAAACACTTACGCGAACGAAGACGTATGGGACGTTCTTGTCCTCACAGAGAAGTGGAAGGTGAAGAAGAATCTCCAATGGTTCGGCATCGGCGGCCATGACAATGACCTGAAAGCAGTATTTTTTACCTACTAATTCAAGGCAGTTGAATAATACAATAGTTATGCTCTTTGAACAGTTCTTACCTCGGCGATTCCTCTGTTGAGGGTCTTTGTTGCCTCGTTGGCTCCCTTCTTGAGCTGCTTGTAGTTCATAGCTTGCTGAACAAGATCCATGAGCTTTTGAGACAAGTTGGTATCGGCCAGTGGGAAAGCCTTCGGGTTAACTCCTTCATCAGCCATCCTTGAAAAACCGAATTCGAGAAATCTGAAAAATTGAAAATAGCAAAGGAAGAAGTAACATTGCGTAAAGAATTCCATGCATTGGAAAGAAGAAACAGAGTCCGTTGCAAGAAAGTGGAAAATCATTTTCCGATATCTGGAAGATGGTTTTCTGAAATTCTGAAAACATTTTTCGAGTGAATTCGTTATGTCTGGACTGAAAATGAATATTAACACTTCGAAAATGATTTTCAGACCATCGGAAAATCGTTTCCCACCATCTTCCTTGCATACGGCCCATGATAGAAACAAAAAAAACTTTTTTTTTCAAATTTCACACAAACATTTACGAAAATTAGGAGACGAAAAGAGAAAGAGACAAACAGCCAAAGACTTTTTTCGAAAGTCCTAAAAAGAAGGCGCGCAATGGTCAATAGCCGGTAGGTCTCGCAGCGAAAACAGTTGGCACGCTGCCAGCTAGTGGAGACGCAGAGAAAACCATCAATTTGGGTTGCAAAAAATGTTCGAAAAGCTTTTCGAATTTTTCGATTTTTCGAACATTCCGATTTTCGTAATCAATAAAATAGTTTGAATTCAATATTCTGTCTTCTACTCAATTCTGACCTCAAAAAAAAAGCAAATTTTTCAGGCATGTCGGGGGAAGAGAAAGAAAAGAACAAAATTCTTCATGTGGCCAATATATCCTGTGCTGCCACTCGGGATCAAATCTACAACATGTTCAACTATCTTGGAAAGATTCAGGAATTGAAGGTTTGCTTTCCAAGTTCATATGAAGTAATAACTAGCTCATTTTCCAGGTCTATCCATCAGAAGGTAATATAAATGCTAGTACTCTACTCAAAACAGCTTTTATCAAGTTCGACGACGAAAGGTGTGCTGAAGTCGGACAACATCTCACCAACACCGTTCTGATCGATCGTGCTATCGTGTGCTTGCCATATCCTAATCGTAAGTTTCCCTATTATTTCCTGCTTTTGAATTTTGTCTTTTCAGAGATCATCCCAGACGAAGAGACATTTTTCAACAGCGGTGGATCTACGACGGCAGGACAACGACAGCTCCCACCACACGTCTCCAACAGAATTCAGCAGCTGGATGATGGAAATTCTGTGGTGAGTTTATTCTCAATAAGCTTCACCAACAAGCGTCTGGAGGTGACAGACGTTACTTGTTAATTTTACAGTTCTACTGGCAACTACCAAGTTGATATCACGAATGCAGTAAAGCCCCGAAAGCGTAATCGAGAAAATCATCAAAAACTTGTTAGTACTGCCGAATGATAAATTTTAAGTTTCAGTTCCCTCGCCAATATATGCTGCGCATCGTCGGAAGAGAACAATAACTCTTAGAGAATAAATCATCTTAAAATTTTGGGGAGAACAGTTAGATGCATTTATCAGAAAATTTGTTCTTCCACATTAAAAATTGATATTTTGCAGTTGATTACAGTCGACCCAACACTGGAGCAGCTTGGACTTCCTGCCTACCCACCATTGCCAGCTGATACCGACAATGGAAAAGTGGAGGAAATTCGTCGCACCGTCTACGTTGGAAATCTTCCAAAGGGAATTGATGGAAAGGAAGTACTGGATCTGTTCAATATGTATTTCGGAGAGGTTCGTTTTATTGAAACAGAATCACATTAATATTAGTTCAAAAATTTCGAAGTTTCATATTGCGACTTTTTGTAGTAGATGTCTTTCCCGTCGACTTCAAGTGTTGTTCTGTCGACCTGAATTAGTATTATTTTTGAAGCTTGTAGATTTTAGATACTTGTCTTTGAATAGAAAAACCGTATTGTCCATCAGCCACTTCTCATAGATAATGAAGCACATTGCTCCATAGTAGAGAAAGTTGAACCAAAAAGATAGCCACCAGAGGCTGCGGAGGGTTCCAGTCCCAATAGCAGCGTCGACGTGTTCCACCATGGTACTACAACCGTGACGCAAACCAACGTACGCAAATCGAAACATGTAAATCACCCAAGCAATCGTACATCCGAACTCCATGTAATCTTCGGGAAGGTCAGAAAGCGGTTTTGGAAATGAAATATCTTTCCACTCTTTCAATCCCGCTGGAATCAACTCGAATTCGCTCTGACATATTGTGCATTGAATGTTGGAAGTAGATCTGACCCATCGCTCTAAACAACTATTGTGAACAAATGCAACGGTTCCACTGCATGCGCATGGTCTGATCAGATGGTCCAGATTCTAAAAAATAATTGGGTTTGTAGATCTGTAGTTCTGGTGGTTTACAGTTTCAGTGTCAAAGCAAATTCTGCAGAGCATCGTTTTCGTAGATAGGTTCTTAGGCGAACAAACTGTTTTGGAACGAGCGGTTTTCAGCGTTTGTTCTTCGTTTCTGTCGATCATAGTGCACATCATCGCAACGAGTAGGAAGTATGAAGAAATGAAAATAGAAACTAACGAGTATTTTTATGTGAAAACCATCGGTTTATTTTCCAGGTCATGTACGTCAGAATGGCATCAGGACCAGACGCTCTACCATGTGCATACGCCTACGTCGAATTTTCTCAACAAGCTTCCGTATCAAATGCTTTACAAAACGATGGTTTCGAATTCAAGGAAAGACCACTCAAGTAAGTTAAAATATAGAAATGTGATTGAGAAATCTAGGCTACTTTTCAAAATTGCAGAATACAACATTCCCGCGTTGCAATCATCAAACCCCAGGCAAAAACTGACGAGCAAGCTCTTGGAGAGGTTGAGGAGGCCATCAGACTAGGACGAAATCCAGATGATCGAGATCGCCGCCGTTCTCGATCTCCGCGCCGTCGTCGCTCTCCCTCGCCTCGCCGTAGACGTGACAGTCGTGATCGTGACCGCGATCGTGATCGAGACAGAAGAAGAAGTCGAGACCGCGATCGTGACCGTAAAAGAAGTCGTAGTCGCGATCGAAAGAGAAGGAGTCGCAGTCGGGACAAGGATCGTGAAAACAAGGATCGAGACAGAAAGCGATCAAGAAGTCGCGACCGTCGACGACGATCCAAATCTCGAGATAGAAAACGAGAGAGATCGCGATCGCGTTCACGGGATCGTAAGCGAGAAAAGAAGAGAAGTCGGAGCAGGTCGACAGACAGAAAACGTGAAAAAGAGGATAGGAAGACGGACAAGAAAGAAAATGAAAACGAGTCGGCGCTGCGTGAAAAGCTTCTGGAGAAAAAGGCCGCAAGAAAGGATTCATCAGAAGACGAATGGGAAGAGAAACCTGTGATTGCCAATGGAGAAGTCAAGAAAGAAGAAGTTGGCAATGGGGACTCGATGGAAACCTGCTGAAATGTTAACCCACCGCTTGCCTCTCGAATATTTGTTTCATCATTTTCCCGTTTTTGTTCTCTTACCTCAATAATTTTTCTTGATTGCTTTTTTCTCAATGGCAATTCTAATTCAAAGTGTAATTTTTATTCGTGAAGTCTTCACACCGATTTTATTGTCTATCGATGTCAACAGAAGTAAAATTCAAAAATCCCAAATATTTTATTGTGATGCTTGTTTGGCTTCATATTTTGTAATTATGCCACGAATCAACTGTGGTGGGAACCGTCGACGTTCTCGGCTGACACATGGTGAGCAAAAGGTAGCTCCGAAATACAGGGAGCATGCGTCCGACATGCAAACTGGCTGACTGCAAGCGGAACATGGTGATCCGAGTACGAGGAAGTCGTCGAGACTTGGCTTTTTGACACGATCTCGGGAAGGAGGCTTGAATGGGTCTCGCATGAAATACACCGGAGAGTCGTAGCTGTAAAAACTGGTATTTGCTTTTTTTTATTAGAAATTAGCAAGAACCTTCCATCAATCACTTTCAGCTCTCCGAATAAGGTTCGCTCTTTCATTCGACAAACATGGCATTCGAAGTCAATGAATGGATCGATCGTCTGCTCTTCATTTGTAACTGGGTCTCCTGAAAAAATGAAATTGTTTTAGCTCCTAAATACTTGAAATAATACCTGTTGGTTTTTCTATTTCACTTGATGTTGAAGTCGTCTGATCACTCATCTTTTCGCTTTCGTAGCCTGGAAAAAATATTCTGAATATTCTGAAACAAAAAAAGATAAGTAATTCCAAAGAGCGAAGTTTTTTCCGGAACGGTTTTCAAATTTTTTTCCCGGGTTTTTTTCGATGGAATGTAGGTACCGGCTGCGTATTTAGCGACTTAAATAACAGTCCAATTTAGAGCTTTCGCTTCGAGACTATTAAATATGCTTGTCTGAGAAAAAAAAAAGGTTGAGACGCAGACACTTTCTCTGCGTCTCCACCTAATGTGTGCTGTTTAGGCTCTCCGCTTCAATATCGCTACCGTATTTAGACTGCAAAAAATACTCTCTAACCTTTTTTTCTCTCAGACAAGCATAATACTTAAATAACAGTAATTCTACAGTAGTTTTCCAGTTATTTGCGCTTGAGCGCATTTACAAGACTTTCCGAAAAAAAAGAGACCCCGCAAATTCCGGGGGAAAGTGGGCGGAGTATGGGGCGGAGCCTAAAATGCAACCCTGGCACGGTTTTTCTGCACATTTGGACACGGTCATGAGGGGGCGGAGCCTAAGTTGCAACCATGGCACGCTTTTGCCGCACGGTTTTTCCCGACTCCGCCTACTTTTCCCCGGAGTTTTTTTCCCCGGAATTTGCGGGGTCTCAAAAAAACATCTTGGTATTTATCTGTGCAAATCGAAGAGAATGCCGATTTCAAAAGGGTTCTCTGGAAAAATAATGCATCGGGAAGAAACTCGATTTTCAGTCTTTTGAACAGCGGTTTAAACAAGAAAACTGTGCTCCAAATTTCGAAAAATTTTAATAAAAAAATTCGCACTGGAGCACGGTTGCATTCCCTTGCTATCTTAAATGAAGACCGCAGATGCCGGGGAAAGTGTGTGCGCACTGCCTTCCAAAGAAACTGGTCAGAAATCTCCATTCCGCCTATTTTCAGAATCAGTTCGTTTTCTTTTGCCTTGCACAAAAAGAAATTCAGTCTGTCTTTTTTGAAAAGAAAATTTCAAAAAAGTTCTCAATCAATTCATATGGGGGAATTCATATTCGTGGGGGTTAGAAGAAAAAAAAACATATTCACAGGGTACATCATAAAATCAAAATAAGACAATAAAATAGGCGCGAAATTTTGTAGGTTTAAAAAACACATTGTTCAGTCCAAAAACGCTCGATCCATGTCTTCTGGAGAGGACGATGAATGAATCGAAGACATCGTGGAAATCGGGCGGTTTGGTGATGGAGACTGTTGGGTGGCGAGTAGCTTTTGGGGAGAGATTTCTGGAACAAAAAACGAGAATTTTTCACAGTTTTTCCTCATTTTTTACCTATAAACTTCAAGTTTCCAAACTTCTCAATGACCACATCTTCTTCTTCTTCTTGTTCTTCCTCATCATCATCCTCACAAATCGGTACTAAATTCGTACTTGTCGTCTTCTTCATCTTTTCCATCACTTCTGGATTTTGCGTTCTCACAAAATTTGCTAATTTTTCCGCGAATTCGGCCATCGATTTGAGTTCTGAAGGTGTTGCTGATGTCGTGGAATGATTGGCAGTGATAGTGTTGAAGATTCTGAAAATTTGCTGAGTTTTCGAAAGAACTGAAAAAGACTAAAAAGGTAGCTCAAAACTCACTTTTCCAGCTTCACAATCGTCTGTTTCATCGTCATTTTTTCCTCAGCTTTCTCATTTTTCATCGATTTCATATTCTTATTTTTTACATCATCCTCATCATGCTCCTCAAAATCGATACGTCCTTTGATACCAGGTGGAATGGGCGTGGCGAAACCGATTTTCTGAAAAAATAGCGATCTTTGAATTATTATTGCGGGGTTTTAGGTCAGTTCAAACCTTTTTCCACAGCTATTATCATTCCTTTTTAACCTGTCCTCACCTTTCGTTCCACCTTCATAATCGACACTGGCGATGCGAAATTTCCAGCGTTTTCGACGATTTTCGACCTCAGTGTCATTTTCATCGTTGCCGATGCCTCTGCCACGTAATCAGAATTTTCTTTCTGGTCTTCTGAATTCTCTCTGAATCTCACAATTTTCTGTGTCGATTTGGTGAGATCTATTGGTCCGAGCGTCGAAACTGCACGTGGTTTCGCAGGCGTCATCGCGTCGCAACGTTCTTTCACCCAACCTTCGACCTGGAAATTTTTTTTGTGGAAAATTTCAGATTTTTGAGAAAAAAATGGTCACCTCTGATTTTTGTGCCTCACTAGCTGTGAAAATGTTGATACCCAATGGAAAAAGTGATGGACGAGATTCGTTGTGTTGCGGTGCCATTGAAGATCTCTGGAATATTTTTTTATAACTTTTCATTCATTTTTCCCAATTTCCAGCTCGAAATTTCTCGAATTTTTAAAAAGAAGACTCCCTTACAAATCCCATTTTTCCCATTTGCAACGGCCGGTTATTGCTTCCTAATGTGCTTCTAGGTTGGCGTGTTCCATAGAAAGATGGCCGCGACGGCGCCGGAATGACAACATTTCCCGATTCGATCATTGCCATTGATCGATGATCGATTCGGAATTCTTCATCGCCGAAATTTCGAGAATTCTGAGAATTATTCTGATGACGTGACGACGATGGCAAATTTTGAATATTCGATTTCCCGCCAAATCTGTTTTGAACTGACGAATCGGAAGGCGCTCGGGACATTCGTGGTCGCGAGTAGCAACTTGGAACCAAACTCGAATTATTGGTCAACGTTGACGAATTCTGGGAATCGCTGCCACGTGTGATACGGTTACTGTACTTTTTTCGCGATTCTATGAGGCGCTGTTTTCTTTGCTCGGCATCAGAAGTAGCTGGGGGAAGTGCTGATGTAGAAGCTGATGCCCGCATTTTGCTCTGAAATCCTTTTAATTGAAGAAGAAGGCTTTTTAGTGTGAAATTCACTGGAAACAGCATTAAAGTAATGAAACTAAGACCGAAAATTCAATTTTTACAATTTCGATACAATTGATACAATTTCGGCACTGCCTTAGTAGCACCCAAATTTTTTGAATTTGGCGCCAAAATGCGGGTATCCCCAGAGGAAGGGAAACAAGGCGTTTTTGCCTAATTTAAAACAAAAAAACAAAGAATTTTGAAAAAAAATCTCAGCCAAAAAAGGGCTGAAATT